AAACCAGAAAGAATCGCAATTTCCCCAGAGAGAAAGCAGTACAAATAATGAGTTCAAATCAAGGAAATGGAGCTCTTGGAAGTCAATCTGTGGTCGAGCTCATATCGCAAGCCAGTGATTTGAGCATAATCTATTTAACGGTTGTCATAAATCCATTTCAAATCACATTCGTTGGAAATATGAGCAATACGTTCACCTGCAGACCATTCAAGCGACTTTTATGGCGCCGAGTCAATCGAATGCTAACTGACTTGAGTCATTGACAACTCATTTTCCGGCTCGCCTCTTGCAGGACATATTTACTTAATTATTACAAGTAGGTATGCCAACAGCAGAGCAGCCAATTTAGTGGGTGTCAACTCGAAAAAAAACCGAAGGGAAAAGAAAAGGCAAACATCACATCAAGGGGAAACAACTAGAGGATGAACTGATGCAATGGTACTGCATTACGCACACCGACCAGCTTTGTTGCGCAATCTATTAGAAAAAGCAAAAAAGGGTCTTATAAAAGTTATCTAATTTTTCGCAAAGGGAAGAAGCTCCGAGGTCGGAGAAAAGCGAAAACGATATCGTTTACGCACTCCGGGAATTTCACTACCCTCTCAGAAAAAATTGCGACTTCTGCAAGCGGCAGCAACTGTCACTGCATGCCGCCTCCCCTTCCCCCTCCCCTTTACTGGATGAGAGCCAAATCAGATTCAGGCATCTTATGTAAATCTAGAAAAAACTTAACCGACGTAAAGCTAGAGACCTTCCCTTGAATGTGCATCAATAGGAAATTCGTGAGCCGCATATATTAAATGTGAAGGGTCCATCCAGAGGGAACAATAGTCCACAAAGGCACTTCATGAAGCTGTTGATGGGTTGGCCAATTCAGCAGTCGTAGTGCTGCTCGAAGCAGTGAAAGAGGAGTGGCTCAAGGAGGTGTAAAGCATCATCAACGAGCTGCAGAACGATCAGAATCGAGAGCAGGAAGGGATACTCCAAAGCCTGACATCGAAAGTTCACGTAATCTATGCAGCCAATTAAAGATGAAAGCTTGCTCCTGCACAT